ACCTGTGATGACTCTCTACCTTACACACTTAACTACACAAACCACGTACCTGAAAAGACATTGCAAATTTTATCAGGAAAAAAAAACAACTTTGTTTACATCTATTAGAAGGTCATACCTGTAACAGGTACCATTGGCTCTTCTTCATCAGAAACTGTATGTGGTTTTGTTAAAGGTAATAAAAAGAGAGCAAGTTTGGCTCTTTAAACAGAACTGTAAAAATAAGTATTTGGGCTCTTAATTTTAAAAGACTTTTGAAAAGAAAACAAACTGGTAACAAGTACTGGGTGCAAGAAAAGCAAGGAAAACTCGATTAGAAAAGAACCACCATCACAGAGATTGCTAGAACAAAAGTCATTACTCCTTCTTCACCATGCATTAACTTTCAGCCTTAAAGATTATCTTAGAGGCCACCTTCCAAAAGATCCCAGCGGCCAGCCTCACAAGTGTAATTACTAAGATAATGAAGTAATAATATTTATTTAAATTTAAACAGGTTATTTTTGTATAAGGAACCTCTTTTTGTGAAGGAGAGACAAATTCTGCAAGAGTGTATATATTAATATTGCAATGAAATACATTTTGTACATTCTTATACATTGGATATTCTAAGAAACATAAAGGAGGATAAATGCAAAAGGTTTCAAAGGAAGTTGGTCATTCTCATCAGATCTTCACATGATCAGTAACAGATTAAAAAAACCCAAAAAACAGATAAAGCCTAAGGACTAATTTTCTTTAAGAAGTTTTAAGAACTTTCAAATGTCCCAGAGCTTTAACTATTAAATTACTTGACTGCAGAAAACACTTAGAAATCAGAAAGAACAGGGCACCATATTATTTGTGCTATATCAGCAGTCACTGAACTTGAATCCCTCACCTCCCAGAAACCACTAAAAATACAACTCAGTATAATTCAGGGAAGGGTGTAAACCATACTGCCTTCTTTAAAGCAGCAGTTTCATTTAGCTGAACATAATGATTGTTATTCCCATGTAAGTAACTAACACACTCGGTGGGGCTTAACCCCAGCCAGCAACTCAGTACCACATAGCTGCTCCCTCAGTCCCTGTCCCCTTCCCTGCCCCCCCCAGAGGGGAGCAAAAGCAGAGATAAAAGGTAAAGCTCGTGGGTGGAGATAAGAAAAGTTCAACTGAAACAAAATAAAACAGAATAGGATATTAATACAAATAATACTATTTGTAATGTAAAGGAGAGAGAAATAAAACCCAAAAAGAAACAAGGGATGCACAGTACAGTTGCTCACCACCTACTGACCAATGCCCAGCCTGTTCCCCAGCAATGATCAGCCCCTCCCAGCCAACTCCCTCAGTTTATGTACTGGGCATGATGCTCCATGGTATGGAATATCCCTTTGGTCAGTTCAGGTCAGCTCTCCTGGCCATGCTCCCTCCCAGCTTCTTGTGTAGCTGGTCATTGGCAGAGCACGGGACATTGAAGTCCATGTTTTAGGGTAAACACTGCTGAGCAACATCCCAAACATCGGTGTGTTGTCAGCATTACTCTTGTACTAAATACAGAACACAGCACTGTACCAGGTACAAGACAGAAAATTAACTGTATCCCAGATGAAACCAGGGCAATACGAAAGTGAAAAACAAAAGCAGGGGGCACAGAGTTCTGCCCCACTATCTTTTGTCTATACAGCTTTACTTTCCTCAACCTTCTGTGGTTGGGCAATTGACTCAATTACCTAATTTCTGTACTGTTTACAGATAAATGCAGACAAAGGCTTTGCAGTTGCCTTCATACAATAAAGTCAAGTTATGAAAATATTTCAATCAACATATACTAACTCTTGACTTGACTAAAATTTGATTCTGAGATGGTGCTTAATTTAGTAGATTATTACACAGTGGAGAAAACTAGGAACAGTGTAGGAGCCTCCCCCTGTGGACAGCAACTTCAATCAACACCCACTGTCCGTCACAGAACTGGTACTCAACACACTGGAAGGGCTTGATCACACGCTCCCTTATGATCTTGCTGATGCCCTTTATCACTCATAAACAATTATCACTCATCAGTCTCATACCAGTTTGAAAATACATTCACTGAGTACTGCTGTCAAAGCCACCTCTCTCTACAAACACTGAGAGCACTTCTGTTCTCACCTGTGAGCTGCAGCCTGCTCTCTCCTAGCTGCCAGAACACACTGAGAGCTCACAGCACGAACCAGGTGAGGAACCTGAACAAACTCTGAGAGAAAAGCACTATGTGTGCCCTCTTTTCAAAAAGCACTAACTTAGATCAAAAGTCTGAGCCTGGATCAAAGCCCAGCCCAAACAGCTGTGTCCACCAGGACAGCAAACTGCAGGGCACTGAGGAGCATGTCTTCAGCTCACACTACTACAGGAAACAACTTCAGCACAGGCAATTGCTTACTCAACTGACATATGGTTAATCTGTGTGTAAACACTCGGCTATAGGAAATAAAAAGATTTGCCTAAACAACATTACGCTTTCAGAGCTGGTATTGGCAGCTGTTGTGGATAGATGCCTCGTAGCAGGAAGCAAAAATTAGTCAAAGATGTTGCTACCAGGACCACTCTCCTGTGAAGGTTTGCAGCCCAATGCATTAGAATAACCCCAAGTTGGAGCAGGTAACCTCAATCAGTTGGACCAAAAATCGCAGTGACTCAGGAGCCAATTCGTAAACAGGTCCAACGTCCTTGCCTTGGCGTGCAAGACTGGGAACAGGACCAGTATCAACCTTTCAGCATTAATCCACTGCCACATGCCCCTCAAGACTGACAAGGTAAGTATAGTACTATAAACCTTGTACCACCACAGCTAAAGTTCAGTGCAACAGCACAGACAGGCACTGGAGGAACTACACACTATGATGCTGCAGGGCTCACCTACACAAGCAACAGTGCATCTGCCTTGCTATGCTGAATCTATTCAGCAGTTATGGGCAGAAGTTCAATTTTACAAACCTATTAAACCAACACTACCCAATGTACCGAATCCCCCACCCCCTCCTATTTTTTTTGAAAGCATACATTGTTATTATTTTAAATTGTACGATGCGCATTTCTAAGTATTATATATTTAAAGTATATATATTTATATAAATATACATAAAATATATTTTCCAGGATCAGAGGCAATACTACCTACTCGCCAAAAAACATAAAATGGAAATAACTGTCAGGAAAAAATTCATTCCTTGGAATATCATGACACATGAGTCTGATGATGGGCTCAAGAAACCATATTTGGTCACGGGAAACAACCTGTCACATCAGTAGTCAGTTGATAAAAATACACTGTCAGTGTAACTGCATCAAATGAGCACAGCAGTGACAGTGTGGCAACAAATCTGATATGTGATCACCAACCTTCACACCATCATGGCACAGAGAAATTTGTAGGCAATCTATTTTACTTTACACAGATGGGAAATCATAACAATGTGCTTCCCAAACAGTCCCTGGGATGGCTGGCCCATTTCACTTAAACAGTGCTGTCTAGCGAGTGTGCAATCAAACATAAATACAAGAGCACACACACATACTCTTCTTTTCAGTCTTCCAGCTGATGCTGAAATCCCACTTTCAACATGAGTAATAGCAATCCCTCAAATCCCTCATACCTGGAGCTAAATTGTCAGGTCCTAAATTTCCACCAGGTCAGGCTGTCAGCTCCACCTCAATGTCTTCACATCCCTGAGCCTCTACCTCAGCCCCAGGAGCCCAAACATCAGCTCCTGATTCTCCGAGCCACACAAGCGCATCTCTCTCTAGCCAGGCTTTTACAGGCTGACTCCCCAACACCACAACCACCACCCACTCCATCTACAAGTCTAGCTCCACATAGTCTCCCATAACAGGAGCCTGCCAGTCCTCTGCAGATGAAGCCACCGCAGCTTCACATCTGTCCCTCACAGACAGAGCCCTCTGTGTCCCACACAGGGTCACCCTAAATTTTATGCTTGTAATCAAGCTTAGGTGCCACTCACAAAAGACACATCTGTTCCTTGCTACCTGTTCAGCCTCAGTTTCAAAGAATCTCAGAATTCATTAGTTTGTTAAAGACCTCTGAGATCAGCAACTCCAACCCGTGAACAATCACCCACTGTGTCAACCAGACCACAGCCTGAGTGTCACGTCCAATCTTTCCTTAAACACCTCCAGGGACGGTGACTCCACCACTTCCCCGGGCAGCCCATTCCAATGTCTAATTACCCTTTTCTGTGAAGAAATTCCTCCTAATGTCCAGCTTAAATCTCCCCTGGCGCAGGTTAAGGCTGTGTCCTCTGGGGTCCCCTCACTTTTTACCGACTCCGACCTGGGTCCACACTCCTGTCAGGGGTGAGCTCACCCCTGAGCCTCCCCTTCTCCAGGCTAAAGCACCCCATTCGCTCTATCGATTCTTTTACAAGTTTCCATGAGCTAAACGCAGTTTCCCCATTTCTATATATTTACTTCCTCCAGGACTCCACAGCCCAGTCACACAACCCTCCCTCCTCTGGCAGGCCACTTCTGCCTATCAATCCCGCGCACCCCCCGAACACAGCCACACGCCCATTCCCTCTCCGCAGGCCGAGCCCCCATAACACTCGGTGCCCCCACACCTCTGGTGTCGCGGCCACAGAACCCCACTCGTCCCACAGCCCCGCAACGGCTCCACGCCAAAACCCCCGACAGGCCTCCCCGCACACCCCTGAGGGCCCTCCCCGCCGCCGTCTCCTCGCCCCGAGCCGCAGGGAAGGATACGGCCACAGCCACGGCTCCAGCGAGGACCTCCACCCTCACCGGCGGCCGCCGCCGCCATCTTGAAACAGCCGCCACTCCCCGCGCGCCTCCACCGCCCCCCCGCCGCTCGCTGTCCATTGGCTGCCCGCGTAGGCCGCAAGCGGGGGCGCGGGGCGTCCTGGGAGTCGTAGTCGTTCCGACGCAACAGGACGAGAGCGGCGCAGCCTGGCGGAACTACCACTCCCAGCGCACCTCGCGGCTACGGGGCGGCAGGAAGGATAAAAAGGCTTTGTTCGCCGCCGGGCTGGGCGGAGGCAGGAGGGTCCCGCGGAGGATGGAGGACAAACCTCCTGCCGGGATCAAGCCCTACCTGGACAAGCTCACCCTGGGCGTCACAAGGATACTGGGTGAGTGGCGGTGAGATACAGCTCCCCCCGGGAGCGGGGGCAGGCCGGGGGTGAGCTGGGGGCGGGAGGGCCACCCAGTTGTCACGGCCCCTCTTGCGAATCGCGCAGCTGAGCAGCTCCTGTACACACACACCCACCAAAGAGAGATCCTTGTTTCTGGAATCAGAAGCAGGAATCCCGAATCTCTCGACTTAGGAGTTTCAAAAGCTTTAAAGAAGGAGAAGGTGGTGTTTTATTCAAAACTGTAGAGTCATGGAATGTTAAGGAATTGCAAGGGACCTTGAAGATCATCCAGTCCCAGCCCCCTGCTGTGGGCAGGGAGTCCTCCCAATAGACCAGGCTGTTCAAGGCCTTATCCAGCCTGGCCTTGAACACTAACAGGGCTGAGGCATCCACAGCCTTCCTGGGCAACCTCTGCCAGTGTCTCACCGCCCACACAGTAAAGAATTTCTTCCTGACAGCCAACCTAAATTTCCCCTCTTTCGGTTTGTACCCATTACTCCTTGCCCTGTTACTACAGTTCCTGGCACACTCCTTCTCTGGCTTCCCTGTGAACCCCTTCAGAGACTGGAAGGTTGCTCTCAGGTCGCCACACAACCTTTTAATGCGTAAATTGTACATAAACCCCTTTGTTGTAGTAAACCTGGCTCTGTTGCATGTGGGGTCAGCAGGGACTGTACCCAGTGGAGGGGGTTCAGTGTGGGGCAGGGCTCTGGCACAAGGCTGATCGAGGAATCTGCTCAGGATCAGCTCCCTATAAATAGTCACCCTACAGCTCATTCCCACACCGTGGGACTTGTTCCACAACATGCCCTGCTTCCCATCTCTGAGTTTTGCTCAGGTCTCAAGCCTTCTTGCATCCCCTCAGCATTCTTTGAAGTTCAGCAGGGCTGCAAGGCATTCAGAGGAAGGCTTCTCAGAGAAAACTTTACTCATGGCAGTGGAATCACAAGGATATGTGCAAATGTTTGCTTGTGTAAAGGATTTCAGCAGTAGACCTGTCATCCCTCAGAAACTTGGGCACAGGACTGTCCTATTTCTATCCCAAGCCCTGTGTGCATCAAGATTACAAATTGCAGTCCAGAGACGACTTCTTGTGAATTTTAAAGCCAAATGTGAGCACTGCAGTTGCCTAACCCAGCCACTGTATTGCAGGACAGTGAGTTTCATTTGGTAACCCCAGTGTATCTCTGGTTGCACATGGGTTTAGATAGCTGCTCAGACAGATGAGATTAAAAGATCAGGGCTTAATACTTGCTCTGGGCTTCAGTGAGGACAGTATTTCATCCTCAGTCTCTGATCAGCATTCTCATACAGACTTTTTATTGAATTTGCAGGGGGGGTTGGAATTTGTTTGGTTGGTTTGGTTGTTTGTTTGGTTTGTTCTCCAGCTGTGAGGTCAGCATAAGATTGTCATTCTGCTCTGTGAGTGAAACTGCTGATGATCATCCATCATGGCAAATGCTTCTTTGAAGTAGTTCTTTTTAAAAAAATTACTGGCCCTGCCCTCATTTTTGCCACCCTCAGATGTGTGAGATCTGTGAGATGTTAACTGGGTCCAAAAGTAATGTTGCCATATAAACTGTTTTGGGTAGGTGTGTTATCTACACCAGCAAGACATGGCAATGCAGGTTTGGCTCTTGAAAGTCCTGTAACATCCCTTTGGCATGAGGGGTGTTTCCTGGTTTGTGTTTTTTTGTTTTTCTACCTGTCTCTCTGAAGCTTCCACTGTGCAATACAGCAATGTGCATGCCAGTCCATCACAGCGATGTTTTACTCTGCTTCTTTTCTCTGTCTCTCCATTCCTTCTGGGAATTTTTCACATTTTTTTGCAGTGAAATAGTCCAAAGCATGTCAGCTGTGCCACCAAATTAATTAGAATTGCTGAGCTAATTGGGAAACTTTATTAATTTGTTCATTATTCAAATAGGAAAGAGTATCTCTTTCAGAAAGATGCCTTTCTCAGTAGTTAGTAAGATGGAAACTATCTTACTTTAAATCTTTTGCAAGGTCTCATGAAGCCAGTAGATGCTTTCTGCCTAATGTAACATAAAATCAGTAATAGACTTTTAACTCTGTTGAGTTTGTGAAACATTTTTTTTTCAGGAGATAGAAGTGATCATGTAATGAAGCTCAACATACTCCTTTTAAGCAAGGTGCACGTATAGTATATGAGAGCTCGACACCTGATTTTCCAATACCTTTATGAACAATTGTTTATGATACCATTTCAAAAACCCTCCTTTGAACAAATTCTGTAGATTAGGTTGTGGGGGTGGGCGTTGCTTTGTTGTTTGGTTTTGGGGTTTGTTTTTTTTAACTTGTAGTCTCTGTGGAAATCCCTACAAGAGTGAATATTTCTCACAAGCCTTATGGAGGATATAATGTAAGGGAAAAAAGAGGGAGATCTTTCCCACTGCCCATATGATTCACTTTGCTGAAGTTCTGTGAGCAATAGCAAGTTCCAGAAGGGTTGATTTTTCATAACTCAATCAGAATAGGAGATGTTAGCTATTCTCAACTTTCTAGAGCAGTACTGTACTTCAATATTGAGTGTGTTTACTACATGAGAACATAACTATTCAGACATTTTAAAATGATGCTGAGAGTTTATCGAACTTATAGGCAGTATCAACAGTACTGTAAAGACTGCTAATCTTGTGATTTCTTGACTAAAAATCCTGTGAATTCCTACTTTAGCTTTGTGTCACTCCATTACATTGACTCTTTCTGATTTACACTGCAAAACATTTTTGGAAGCTTCCGAATGAAATGTCCTAAAAAATAGGATAGAGTTTACTGTGATCTTGATTCAGAGTAATGAGCAGGGTGGAGTCACCTGAACTAGGTTAAGCCTTATCATGTATCTTTAATCTAGGTGGCTTCTTCATTTCTTCCATTTGGAAGAAAAAGCAACTCATGGCAAAGTCAGCTGTTGATGTTTAAAGGAGCTCCTGTCCATATCTACTTACAGCTGTTAAATGTGGTCTTCGGATTAGCCACAGGATATTTTTAATGTAATATTCCAACTTTTAAGATGGAATTTCTCTTTCTTTTGATGTTGGATTTGGTTCAGACCTCTTTAGAAGTTGTACTTCTCTCTTTCCTAGACATCATCTTTGACTGATATGATATTTAATCTTCTGTCATCCCAGCCAAGCTGTTGTGCATAATGAATTAAACATCCCTGATGTTTTCTTTGATCACAGAAATAACAATTACTCTGTTATTATAATCTCTTTAACTTGTCATAAGGCTTGCATAGCTTAGATGGAAAGGACTGGTTAGGTCATTGATTCCACAGAATTCTTTAGGAGCAGAATAGAGCTGGGCAGCTTGTATTTCAGCAATAGATAGCCTTGGACCTATCTACCAGAAGTGAAACATCAGAGTCTTCTGTATGTTGGGGGCTCCCCCTTGGCCAGACAAATCACCTAGGTGACCTACTATGATTTTACTCTTTCGCTGTTTTTTTTCTGTCTTTAACCTGAGTCTTGGTTTTGTGGTACCATGTGTTGTCCTCTAAATTATCTAATGATGTTACCAGTCAATATTTCCCATTGGAGTGTAGACTTCCTGAAACCGAGTGCCGCTTGTCCACCAGCAGAACAGACAAGGGCAAGGCTACTGCTGGAATTAGAAGCCTGGCACTGAAGATCAAAAACACACTAAAGCTCTCTAGTGCTTGCCTTTCCTGTCTAGTGCACTGTGTATGTTTTATCAGAAAGCGATTGTAATATGTGTGACTGCTTTGGGAGCCAATACTTTCACAGCAGAGCCAGTTCTTGAAAGCCCTGCATAGTGTTCACTTCTATTCTGTGGCCCCATGTGCTGGGCTTGCAGTTCCCACAACAAGTTAGTGGTCTTTCTGGACTTAATCCAGGGTGAATTAACTCAGTGGGAATTATTTCAGTTGGCTGTGGGTGAAGTAAAACATTATAAAACACTAAGTGCAAGAGAGACTGTTCTGCCATCACATGCCTGCAGGGGTAGCATTGTGTAGATTAGTATATTGCATTTCTATAGTGTTCTTTCCCATAAAATACTAAGATGATTTTTATAAGTTACAAGCTCAGTGCTCATAACAGCTTTGCATGTGTCCAGCTGGGATTCCAGACGGCTGATGTTTGCTCACACAGCTCCCTTCATGATCAGATTCTATGTCTGTCCAAACCCACTGGATCCAGCATTTAAATGTGCCTGTCTTTGTGGAATATGGTTGTTAGCAGTTCACAGCAGCACTGCACAACATATTGTCCCAAGCTGAGGATATCCTACCCAGCAGAAACTACAGGAAATGCTTGCAAAGAGAGATTTCTCTCTTTTAGAGTTTACCTGGGAACCCATCACTGATTTCTTTTTTTTTCATGAATCCTTTGCAAAAAATCACACACAAAAAATACAAAATGTGTTTCTGTCATAGAATCACAGAACAGTTTGGTTTGGAAGAGTCCTTAGAGGTCATCTGGTTCCAACCCTCCCATGGGTAGGGATGCCACTCACTAGACCCATCAGATATATCATTATATATGCATATATATCTATAAAAAAAGATTCAAAGGATGACATTTTGTGCATCTTTAGATATCTTCATGCCAAGACATGCTGAGTACAGTTACAGACAAAAAAAAGTGACTGCTCAGTCACCAGCACAGTGCTTATAGTCATTAATGCCTTTCCCTGGGTGTCACTCAAATTAACTTGCAAAATTGTCTGTCTCACAATGTTGGTGTCACTCCTCTTTTCCTTTTAGAGACTTCTCCAGGAGTTGCTGAGGTGACATTTGTGGAGAAGGAGCCAGCTGAACGCCACACCATCATTTCTTGGGAGCAAGTGAGTATTTTTGTGATACAACTGCAGTGAGGTGCAGCAGCCTACAGAGAATCTCAAATGTAATGACTACCCTGTGTTTGGTTATGAGGGAGCTTGTTACCAAGTTTGATGCACAGAGGAGCCTACGCAGTTGTTGGGTTTTTCTTAATCCAGTTTCACTCTGTCTTTTAGGCTGTCACATGCACCTGATCTGTTAGAGAAATATCAATGTACATTCAGAATGATGGCTTGAAAACGAAATCACATAACTGTAGTAGGCAGCAACAGTGGTGACTCAGTGGGGAACAAATATTTTTCTGACTCAGATCTGAAAACATTTTCCAACTCCCTTTCAAACAAAATGAAGCAGCTCTTTGTTATTCATGGACATTAAAGGTAAAGGCCTCAAGCTGGCAAATACCACTGAGCCACCTAGTTTCTTCCAGTTATCTGTTTCTCTTTTTAGTCTCAGCAATTTGTTTCAGTTTCTCACAGCCCCTCATTCTACCTCCTCTTTGGCTAACCAACACAGTCTTTTGGCTAAGGCATGTCCCACTGCCTGTTCTAGAAAGCTATGAAGGACACTCCGCGTTATCTGACCTCACTGCACCACTCTGTGTGATCGGAGGGTTCTGAAAACTGTTGTGTGACTCTTGTGGGCAGAGATGGCGTTTTTGCTCCCCTTTTTGAATATATATATATATTCAAACCTCAACCCCACGGCCCTGGTGGAATAACTGCTTTGTAGGTGTCACTCACATGTAGGAAAGGGACAGCAGAAGCTGTCTGGCCTTTGGAAAGCGGGATGGCAGAGAATGGAGTTGAGTGAATCATCCTCCCTCTACTCCAACCCCAGCTATAGTCCATTCTCCCAGAGAATCTGCTCTTATTACCACTGCTCTTGTTACCACTGCATAAAATAACTTTTGCTTGGACACCTTGCCATTTACAGGGTTTTCCTAAACAGTAAGGAAAGGCCTGGCCCTAGTTTTGGTAATGCCCTATCCCAATTAGTGACATTTATCAACAATTTATATAACCAGGTCAGAATATGTGTGATGTAAACGTGTGTTACTTACTGAAATTTGTCCAGTAGCCAACTGGTCAGGGAGAAATGTCCGGTTTTTCAGGTTTGTGTAAACTGATTCCTGATTTACTGTAGCTGTTGTTCAGGTGTTGGATTAACTGGGCTGGGAAGGTCTGAGACACCATGACTGAGTCAGCTCAGGTCTGGGAGCAGCAGAGTGACCTTTGCTCACTCTTCTCTTGAGTGGAGAGGACGCTTCTCCCAGACACAGTGTTGCTCTCATTTTCAGGTGCTGCTTCTCCTCCAAACTAAAATAAGTATCTTTGAAAACTGAGCTGTTCTTGTAAAACCAGACTTTGAAATGCTGTAGCCAAAGCACTTCATTCCTGAGATGTCAAAACAAAATTTCGGTTCCCCCCCCCCGCCCACTGATGGACTAAGTCAATTGTGAAAGTGAATGTTGAAAATTAAGTGGATATAGTTGAGCTGGACTGCTAATAGTGAGGGGTTGGCTGCCTATTTCTTTGGTGTTGGTTCCAGCTGCATTGACAAATAAAATTTCCCTTCTCAAATTAAAAGGTAACTTTTTTTTTTACTTTTTTTTTTCCTTGAGCTTTGGGGATGAAGTCTACCCTAGTCCACACAATTGCAGGACAAAAATGCAATCGGTGATGATTAAGTGCAATGCATTCAGCACCTCACAAGGCCCTTTCAGAATGAACTTTTATTTACTTTTCCTCAAACTTACCCTTCTTGATTTTTAAAGCAGTGTTCACTTTTATCACTGTGAAGTTTTTTTGAGCCACTAGGTGGCAATACTTATGCACATAATAATTTCTTCGTAGTTGAGATTTTTAACCAGGTCTTTTAGTTCACCTCTATGTCTTTGCTTATGAAAGTATTTGCAGAATTTTTTCTGTGATAAAGGAAAAACTGGTCAAACTGTTCCCAGGCAGAAAGAGCTGTTAAGTCTTACACTTCAGGAAACCAATCCTGAAATCAATCCTGAATAATTTATTGGAAGTCAACACACTCACAAAAATACTTAAAGTACATGATTGCCAAGAGTTTACATGGGTGGCATCGCTTCCCCAAAATTTCTAAGCAGTTCAATATATTTCAATAAAAACAGATAATTTTTCAACCTTTCTTGATACTTAGACCTACCAAGATGTTACCTTTTCCCCAGGAGAGGGAGACAAGCAATAGGAGAGGGAGTAGAGACAGTTACCTGGTTAACAGAACTCCAGTGGTAATAACTCCAGTGTATGTTGTCCTATGAACCCTTTTCCACTCCTAAAATTAGGCTGGCAATGGCTCTGCTCTCCTCCACATGCAGTTTTTAAAAGTAGGTATTATACTAAAATATTGCTAGGAGGCACTCTGGTGCAGTGGCTGAATCACAATTTCTTTTTTGCCTCAACCAGAATTAAAATGAATCACCCACATAGTTGTTCTGGTTTTCGTAGGGGACATGGAGGCACCAGCGCTCAGCACCACAACAGGCCAAGCAAACTGAACAGAGTAGTTTTGGCTTTTCCTCTGTTTGACTTCTTAGCAGTGTCTGAGCTGCCCCTGGCTGGCTGTAATTGATCCCCGCCCATCACATTGCTGTAGTTCTGATATTCTCCAAGTCTGCATAGGAAATTTGTTGTTTCTCCTTATGTATTTCGTCTACAAAGATTTAATTTTCTGTAATAAAGCCATAAAAAGCCCTCAAGCAGTCTGGTGCTTTTCTGTTATAGACTATCATAGGCTGTCAGACAATTTAGAAACTCTCTCTGCCTATAAATCTCAGTGGGAACTGCCCTGGTGGTTTCTCGCTATCCTAGAAGTCATAGAATCATTAAAGTTGGAAAAGACTTCTAAGATCATCAAGTCCAGCCATTAATGTAGTACCATCATGTTCACAACTGAACTATATCTCCAGGTACCACATCTACACACCCTCTGACCACTTCCAGGAATGGTGATTCCACAGTTCCTGAGCAACCTTTTTCAATGCCTGACCAGCCTGACCAGCCTTTCCGGGCACAGCCTGAGGCCATATTCTCTTGTTCTTCTCACTTGTTATCTGGGAGAAGCCCCCGACCCCCACCTGGCTTTCAGGTACTTTCAGTACCTTTCAGGGAGTTGTAGAGAGGGATAAGGCCTGCCCTGAGCTTTCTTTTCTCCAGGCTAAATGCCCCTGGCTCCCTCAGCTGCTCGTCATCAGACTTCTCCAGACTTTCCCCAGTTCTGTTCCCTTCTCTGGACACACTCCAGCACCTCAATGTCTTTCTTATCATGGGGGGCCAAAACTGAACACGAAAGTCAAGTTGCAGCCTCACCAGTGCCCAGTGCAGAGGGACAGTCACTGCCCTGGTCCTGCTGCCCACACTATTGCTGACACAGACCAGAGGCCATTGGCCTTCTTGCCCACCTGGGCTCACTCTGGCTCATGTTCAGTCACTGCCATCCAGCACTCCCAGGTCCTTTCCCACCAAGCAGCTTTTCAGCCCCTCTGCTCCCAGCCTGGAGCACTGCAGTGGGTTGTTGTGACCCAAGGGCAGAACCTGGAACTTGGCCTTTGATTGGCCTCAGCCCATCGATTCAACCTGTCCAGATCCCTCTGCAGAACCTTCCTACCCTCCAGCAGATCAACACTCTCACCCAGCTTGGTGTTGTCATCAAATCAACAGAGAGTGCTCTTGATCTCCTTTGTCCAGATCATCAATAAAGGCATTAAACAGGGATGGACCCAGCAGTGAGCCCTGGGGAACACCACTAGTGACTGGCCCCAGCTGGATGTAATTCCATGCACCAGCACTCTGGGCATGGCCATCAGCCACTTTTTCAGCCAGGGAACAGAGCATCCATCCGAGCCAGGAGCAGCCAGTTTCTCCAGGAGAATTCTATGTGAAACGTCCAAGAAATCAACATCCACAGCCTTTCCCTCATCCACTGAGCAGGTCACCTTGTCATAGAAGGAGATCAGGTCAGTCAAGGAAGACTTGCCTCTCCTAAGCCCCTGCTGGCTGGGCCTGATCCCCTGGTTCTCCTGTGCGTGCTGTGTGATGGCACTCAGGATGATCTCTCCATGACCTTCCCCAGCACCGAAGTCAAACTGACAGACCTGTAGTTCCCTGGGTCTTCATTTGAACCCTTCTTACACACAATCCAGGAACCTCCTAGGCTACTCCCTCTCTACTGTGTTGTGTTTCCAGCAGACATCTGGAAAGTCAGCCTGTAGTGGTTTAGTTTTTTAGGCCTTCCTGGTAACTAGGTCGGAACTAGGAAGTGACCATGTTCCCAGTATTCCCTACGATTTTTTTACGTAAGCCAGAGTATAAATAAGACGGAGAGAGAAGCCTCTTCCTCTCTTCTCTTCCAGCAAGGTTTGGAGGCAGCAGACTCCCACAGCCAGTCTCGCTCGTGTGGGGGAGCTGAGGCCTGGTCGGGCCTACAGGGCCCTGTTGTTTCTGCCGATCCAGGGTCCGGTAGCGTGACAGTGGCATTTGGCGCGATTGTGCTATCTCAAGGAAAGTGTTAAAATTTTTTTTTGGCTAGTTCTTTATTGAGTGCATATACCTGTTTTTAGGGTTTTTTTGTTTTGTCCCTTTTCCCTTTCCCTTTGAGGGTGTTGGGGGTTTCTTTCTCATGTGTATATAGTCTTTGTAATCATATATAAATGTAATATAAGTGTAAATATATTTATATATTGCTTTAGCTCTCTTATTTCAGGTCTCTTGGTTTTTTTTTGGTTTTCCCTTGGTTTTTTTGGGGGGAAGCTTTTGCTGTGGTGTTAGAGACTTGGCAGGAAGCCAGCTCCAAGCCACCACACACCCTTACTGCTTCTACCATACATATCTCTTTTGACTGAAAAGTATTCATGCAGGCATGTGCATGGTCAAGGGTCCTTCTCGGCATCCTTCTTGTATCCTCCCTTAGCATTAGGCAAGCTTGTCATCCCTTATCCCTAGGAGCACAGGATCTACCATCTTGAGCCTGTCTTGTGGCCCTGACTGTAGGAGAGATGGAGAAGTAGATCCAGCAGCATCCAGCCTAAGGAAACCTGTGTTTCTTCAAGCTGCATAATGGGGAAGAGGTTTGAGGACTTTGGGGAGGAGTAAATAGTGCTTCTTTCACAGTGTTTCTCCTTCTGTTGGGCCTTATAATATTCTAATTAAAAACCTGGCTGCACAACAACATCCTCAAGAGAATTTTTAAATCCTCTTCTCTGCAGCAGGGAATCAGGTCTACCTCAGCCTCATAATCTCCTGGGAGCCCTCTAGATCAGATTTATGAAAGGTGCAACAAGAACATCTCAGCATGTTACACAAGTTAACATTCACATTCACTAGCAGCCAGTCATGAAACTGCAGCACGTCAGGAAGAGAGGAGGGTGGCTGCTGATGTGCTCTGCTGCTTGCAGGCCCTGAGAAGGGACATAAATGCCTTCCTTCTCTCCCCAGAAGTTGGGTAAAAAGTGACATAAATGCTTTCCTTCTAACTTTAGAAGTTGGATAAAAATCATTCATTCATTTTTTATTGGAAAAGTCTCTCCAGAGCTCTATGTTTTGATTGCTTTCCATTTCTTTAGTATATTTGCTTGAGAGGTATTGCTTCAACAATGCCTTAAGTGAGTTGCCATATGTCAGGGTTCTAGCTTTGGAGCCAGTGCTGTTCAGGTCTTGGAAGCAACACAAGCCTGATTCTAATATTTTTCTCTGTCTTCTGTGGACTGTGCTTTCTTGGGAGACTACTTGGGGGTATTATGGAGAACAAACAAAAGGAATAGACCTCACACATCGTACTGGGCACTTGGGATATTTTGTTTTATGAGCTGATGAGTGTAACCAAATGACTGGAGTGAAAACAGCTGCTTGCCAGGGCTGTGGTTAATCTCCTTCTAGCACATTATTGGGAATAGCGTATTTTATGGGACTGGAGAGCACAATCCTTAAAACTACCAGTTGAGCAGGAGGAATATAGTTTGATAAGCCACTTTTAATATATAGTGGCTTGTTTGTCTGACTCTGCTGTCAGATCATCACTGTTCTGATGTCATATGGTCATGTGACTAAGTATAATATGACAGAACAATCCATCCTTTCTGTCAGATAAGAGAGGTGGGTATTAGTGAAGCTTTCTATTTACTGGTATTTTCCTGTAGACCCCATATCTGCATTTCCCACCCATATATTTTGCACCATCGTTTGGAAACTCATGCAAAGGGACATGGTTGGGAGAATCCTGAAATAAATTTGGAGGGCAACCACCTGGAAAAACATGCGCATGTTGATCTTTCCATTCAGAAAAAGAGAATTCAGAGCAGAAGGCCTGTTCAGATGTGATTTTTACCTTGCCTTAATCAGCTGTATTTGGTCTGTGCCTGAGATGTAGTAGTATTTATCTGGATACTACCATGGAAGTTTTAAAATCTTAGATTTTTCACAATTTTTCACAATGGATCTGGTTCTCCTGCTTGGAAAATAACACCCACTGAAGTCAGATGGGCTGTTTGCATATGTGTTTTTACTGCTGGGATAGATTAGTTAAAATTGGGGGATTTGAAACGGATTGAAAGTGCCATGTAAACTTTTGTACACTTCTGAGGCCTTGTAGCAGGTCTGTCTCTCTGTTTCTTCATAGTTTTAACCCTAGTCACTGTGCTTACAGCTACAGCTTGAAATTGGAAGTGATGAAAGGGCAGCATGAAATTATAAATATTTAGGACTGAGGAGAACCCACAGAAGAAGGTGTGTTTGTGAAAGGCATTTGAAGAACTTCAGAAATGTCCATGTGGTTTAGTAATCTCCTTAAACTTACCACCAGGGCCTCAGCCATCAGCAGACTCTTATCAAAGGATGATAAATTCTTCTCAAAACAAAGTCTCTACAGTATCAGTTTGTCTACTTTAATACCTGTAGACCCTGAATATTTTCCCTACTTGGGTTAGGAAAGCACTGTGCATGTGACCAGAGTGCTTGACGAGGCAGGTAAAGTGACCTGTCCTATTTCAAGCTGCAAAACCATTAGTATCTGGGACTCGTCAATAATAGTCAGCCAACATAAATGGATATGTTTAGAAAGTAAGTTAACAGGCACGAATGAAGGTTGTGTGCAGGTTAGGGGGTCCTGCACAGTGTGTACACCCCCAATTTAGGGGACAGAGACTGTAACAGCCCGAAGAAAGTGGCTGTGAATAAGGCTTTAACAGGCAGAAGGGCTGCCCTTGTCCCAGGGGAGGGAAGGGAAATGAACAGGAGACCAACACCCTTGCTCATGCCAGCCACTCATGACCAGAGGGCAGCACTGCAGCTGGATGCACAGCTGGCAGGTAGCTCCTACTGGAGAGATGCTTTGAGGCAATATCAGGAAAGATAATTGGATATGTACAAGTTGCAGATGTGGGGGAGAATCTGATCAGCTTCTCTCTTTACCAAGTAAAAGAGCTACATGAACTGCATGTGCATCTTTCTTTTCCTTAGATACTGGTTACCAGAATATTCTATCTTTATTTAATGCAACTTTTCCACAAGGAGAATAATGCAGCCCTTGGACAAGTCAATGCAGAGATTGTGGAATTGCATCATTGGAGACCATTCTGAGTTTTGGGCTCTGATCCTTTTGGAGTCTTGAGTGTGACAATATTTTAAATGTGAACTCTCTTGAATCTTTCTCAATCAGTTTTTTCTCTAAAACAATTACAGACAAAACAACAGGTAACTCTTGTAGTCATACGTGTTGCTTGTCTTCTTAAAACTGACAGGCTTCTGTCCTGTTTCATTTAGTTTTCTTGACACTTCAGCAGGAGCAGAGGGTCACTGGTCTGCAACCAGTCCTGTCACCAGGAACAGGGCCTGCAATCACCTATGGCTCTTTAGGATTCTTTTTGTTCCAAGAATTAATCTTTTATCCTTCCTTCCTCATATTTGCTGCTTAACTAAAGAGTCTAAGTTAAGAAAGACTTCTTCCATAATCAAGACAGTACAGGAAATGGGCTGTGGTTCCTAGAACTCCAGCTCACTGGAGTTGCTTCTGTCATTGTTGACTCAAAAGGAAGCAGGCTTAGGAGCCCCAGCCGAGTGCTGAAGTTTGGAGGGGTGAAGCCAGACCTGCAGGTTTGTGAGTCTGGTTCTGCGTGTGTTTGCACACACTTTTTGTTAAGTGAAACATAGAATCTGCTTGATTATGTGCAACTTTTGAATCTACCAACTCTTTTGAATCTCTCACCAACTTGGAACTGAAATCCCTCAGGAGAAGAGAGTCCTTATGCTAATGTCGTGTGTGCTTTAGTGGAACAGATAAGTTTAGTCTGATTTCACTCAAAGCAAGACCCTACTATTTTAAGCCGTTTATATGAAAAAGCTAATTGTTCTTATATACATGAGCTTGGAGGGGCTGCCAGTGTCGAAAGATTATATGTTATCTCAGTTGGGGAACAATGGTGTAATATTCTTCTGATGACTAACTGCTCATTGTGAAATTTTCCCAGGTCACCTTTGTAAATACAATAGCACAGACCCAAGAAATACACAGTTTTCTCTGAGGCTTTAGAATGAGATATTTGAGTCATCTTGCAGTTAAAAAATTTGGTGGCAAATATTTCTGTACCATGTTTCAGTTGAACTTCGGGTTTGAGGCATGATCTGTGTTTTCCCATAACACTTTGATTGTGATCTGCAGAAAAACTCCTGCATATTGCCAGAGGATTTAAAGAACTTCTATCTGATGACCGATGGCTTCCAGATGACCTGGAGTGTGAAGACTGATGGTGAGTCAACATGTTCCTCTCCACTGATACCCTCATTTCATTGCAGCCAGTCTTTCCTTTGCAGAACCTATTTAATTTCAGGCTTACTTTCTGAACAGTGAATACCCATCTCTCAGTATCCTGCATTAGTCTGAGCAAAAACCCAGGTACCAAGTCATTCTGAATTAAAAATTAGCACCATTCCTTTACTTGCAAATAAATAAAGTAGTTTATTTTTACTAGACGGCTTGATCAGTGACAGAAATCTGACCCCTGAATTAAGAGTTATAAAAGGCAGTTCTGCATGGGATTGTAGACTATTTTAGAGATGTCCTGGTAAGGAAAAAAATATGACTGCCCATCAGAGGTCCCTTCTTGATGCAACAGGACAAAATCTATTACTTAAGTGTTCTGGACTCTCACAGAAGAGGTGCAGACACTGAAAATGTTAAGTCAAACAACTACTCATGACATAAATACTGTTCTGTAATACACTGGCCATCTGTTGGCACTCACATTTAGGTATGTAATTTAAATCTCATACCTTAACTCTCTCTCTGTAGTTCATGGAGAGAGAAGCAGCTATAGCTCATTATCCCATCATAAAACAGTAGGAGGAGGAACCTCTGACAATGTCTCTTTTTCATTAACAAGTATATGCTGGAGCCTGGTTCCACTTTCCAATGCTAAAGTTAGAGCTCCATTGTCCATCCTTGTTCATTCTGCAGTTATTATCCGGGTTCTCATTGCCCTCAAACAAGGCTGTCAAATTGGGCTGTGGACACTTCCTTACTTCTGGAGGTGGGTGTCAAATACAGGGTGTCTTAGTTTAACAAGATTGCAACTTAGAAATTAAGAGACTTCATGTGGAAGTGTGGAAAAGGACAGGGTCTTCCTCAGGAAGTGAAATTTCATTTGAGAGACAGCTCACATCAGGGCTTTAGCACCTGCAGTGACTTCCATCATGTTTCAAGTGGGATTTGCTGTGTTGTGACCTCTGAAGAGTCTTGTTTTCAGGGCTCACAAGTGCACAGAGTCCAAGGCAGCTCACATAACTGTCTTGTTTGAGCAAGCATCCAACAGTGCCTTCTGAGATCCATCACACTGACACATGGCTGAGCAGGGTGACTTGTTGTCTTGATGCTGTTAGAAAGGTTTGGGTTGATGTGTAGAGGAACAGAAATACCTTCTATGCTTTCCTGACACTGGATGTGGTTAAAAGTGAGTCTTACTGCAGATACTCCCATGCCTCTGGGCTCCATGGTGATTAACAGCATCTCACAACTGTGTCGGCTGGGGGGCTCCTCCATGTACACCCTGCCCAATGCTCCAACCCTCGCCGACCTGGAAGATGACACGGACGAGGAAGGTAAGACCTGTTAACCGGCTGGAAAACGTGCTCTGTGTCATCCCTTTTCCTCTATTAGAGTAGTGTTAGGATAATAGGGCATGGATAGGTGAGCAGTGACCCCTTGCACTAGACCAGGTTGCTCAGAGCCCCGTCCAGCCTAGCCTTAAGCACTTCCAGGGATGGGACATCCATGGGAAATCTGTTCCAGTGCCTTACTGCCATCATAGTAAAGAACTTTTTCCTAATATCCAGTCTAAACCTACTCCCTATCAGTCTGAAGCCATTCCCCCTTGTCCTTTCTCTACATGCTCTTGTAAAAAGTCTCTCTTCATCTTCCTTGTAGGCTCCCTCCAGGTACTGGAAGGCTCCTATTACGTCACCTCAAAGCCTTCTCTTTTCCAGGATGAACAATCCCAATCCTTTTAGCACCTCAGCTAACCCCTGTGGCAGTGGAATTGGAAGGAGGTGATCTTTAAGGTTCCTTCCAACCCAAACCAGTCTGTGATTTTTTGTCTCCTGGGCTGGATCTGTTATGTATCTTATTAGTCCCCTACAGCCTCGACAGGCAGATCTGCATGCTGTGAATATCATGGGGATTGCTGATGCTGCCAGTCGTTAGTGTTCCTTGTATTCTCTTTTAGCAACCTGTCAGCCCTCTTATTCTGCCTTTTCCCTGTTTAAACTTTTATCTGAGTCTTCCCCCGGTGATTCAGCTTCCAAAGTCTTTGTGTGCTTATGGTGTTACATGAACAAAAGATAACGGGTTTTGTCTTGGTAATGAAAGTACAGCTGGAATGGGAAAAGTAACTGGTAAATACGTGTAACTGTGAGGTTGCAGTGGAAAGTGTGTGTTTCCAGACTGCCTAAAATGCTGGGAATACTGCTATTTGGAGAGAAGAAAAAAGAAGAAAAAGGTCCACTCACTTTTTTAAGAGCTCTTACAGTCTAACAAGACTGGAAAAATTAAGAGGATAGGAACAGAGCCAGGTGTCATGCCAGTTTTTTTTAAAAAGTGCTATTTGATTTCAATCTTATCCCTGCCTCTCTACAGTTCTTCTAATTTCTAAATGTGGCTGAAAATTTCTTCTTGTCACATTCCAACTTGAGTGCAGTCCTGATCTTCTAACCATTGTAATGAAATACACCAATTTCTACTTCCACTCAGTGACTCAAACCTCCAGTGATGCACTTATAAGGTACACTGAGAAAAAAGTTGCATCCCCACAGAAGTTCTCATCCTGACTTTAATGGAAAATTTTTCTGGAGAGTACAACTCTTATGTCCCACTTCTTCCCCATCAACTTTAGATTTCAAAATTGCATTCCACGAGAACTTGCAGCTTCACAGTCCCAAAATGGTGCTGTAGAAATGCTCTGTGGTGGTTGGGGGTCCCAAGTTGAACATGAGTCAGACGTGGTTGTTGAAAGGGCTGCTGATGTTACACTGAAATGTATGGAGAAATATGTGTCTACAAGTTCCTTAAAGTCTTCTGTCAAGAGAAAAGAATAAATTGTTCTCCCTGTCCTCCTTAGAAAAAAAAGTAATTAGGGCAACAAAGGAATAGTAGATGTAACAGAGATAATGGACTTCCAGTGCAATAAGGAAGATTCCGGATCCATGAGGAAAACTTCTAAGTGATAACTGATGGATTTGGATTGACTGCTTGGAAACTGTGCCATCTCCAGCACTGGAGAACTTTAGGAAAAGATTAGATAAACCTCAGGAGTGACATCTGTAAAGCTGATCTTGCTTTATGCCAGGGAAGGACTAGAAGTCAGTTTATTGTCTGCTTTCAGCCATCTGAATTTGACTCTGTGGTTTGTTTTCCTACCAGATTAAAATTTTTCTCATTTTTTTTTGTTTTATTTTAAACATAGGGAACTTAGTCATTTCCAAGAAACATAAATATAATAGTTTACTTTAGTTCTTCCTCAGCTGATTTATTCACAGATATCAAATAGGTTGACTCTGCAACTGAGTCACAGTCAGTTTCCCAAATATGTTTCATGAAAATTTTTTTTGTTTGTTTCAGGTAATGGAGACAAACCAGAGAAGCCACATTTTGATTCTCGTAGTCTTATATTTGAATTAGACCCATGCAATGGGAATGGGAAAGTCTGTCTTGTTTATAAGCATGCTGAACCAGGTAAGACTGAAGAGAGAGAAGTTATCTGTCTCTTGTTGTGGATTGTATCTGGAGGCCACACTTGAAGAATTATGTTAGATTTCTGATCTTCTTTGTAATTCATAGATGAAACTTTTACTAGGGTGTCCCGTGTCCACTGAAGTCAGGGGCTAAACCTTACAGAGACTTAACTAGAGCTAACATTTTCACTCCTTTTAATATTGGAGTCTGGGTTATAATTTCTGCATGTACATGTGGCCTACATACAGTGTTGAATTAATACAGAGCTCCACTAATCTGTCTCTGGTTACCTGCATGTCTTGGAACAAAACCCTTACATTTTTAAGAGAACGGGTATAACTCTGCTTAGAAACAAGGGGTAGATGGTAAAAAAAGGCCTTAGCTGACTGAGACAGGCTTAGACTGGTTCTTCCACCTTGTACATGGATGCAGAGCCTCCAGGTGCTAACTAGGTCAAAATGGGGCAAGAAGGGTGGAACAAGAGGGTAAGAGATGGGAGCTGAACTGTTTCTTCTGACAGATATGCAGATAGCTGTTATCAGTGAACAGAGAAACACCCAAGGCACTTGTGAAGTAGGTGGCATAAGACAGTGCACAGGTTACTCGGTGTATGTGTGTTTACAGTGTAGGGCTGTGCAATTGCAATATATATGTTCTTAAGAAAAATCCTCAGTTATTATCTTGTGTCTTTCATTGGGTGTGACTACAGCTCCCAAGGCAGTAAGTTCTTACTTGTCCTCTTGCCTTCCAGTGTCAGTGATTTCAGCACATGCAATGGATGACCTGTGCAAGGGGAGGGAGTGTTGGTTACAGGGGTCAATGGCAGTGTAGGGGACAGTCTGTTTAACTGGCAGTGTTCAGCATCTTGGTTTCCCAAGAAAGAAAAAAACTTCTTTTTATGCTGCAAGGGATGTCACCACTAGAGAAGTACTTGATCACTATGGAAGGATTTTGAAAAATGTGTTTTTGTTGGCAGCACACACTCTCATGACTTCCAGACTCTGGACTCTATTCAGTAATCCAGATGACTGACAATTGAGTTAGCTGCTTTTTTACTTTGTGGGGCAGATAAATGTTTGCCATAATTGTACTTTGAACATATACTACAAAAGCTGCTGATGTCCGAGAATGTTCTATGTAGCGTATCAGTCCCAGGCTGGGAAGGGATAGCATTGCATTCCTTGTCCAGGACACAGCCAGACAAACACACCATGCAACGGGTGAGCAACTGGCTCACGGGTCAGGCACAAAAGGTTGTAGTGAATGGGGTCACTCAGGCTTGTGACTAGTCATTAGTGGGGTTCTGCAGGGCTCCATCTTAGGCCCAGTTCTTTTCACTGTCTTCATAAACAGCTTGGACACAGGACTGGAAGGTACACAAAGTAAGTTTGCCCATGATGCTAAATTGGGAGGAACTTCCCCCGAAGACAGGGAGGCTTTGCAGAGAGACCTTGACAAATTAGAGGTCTGGTCAATCACCAACCATATGAAGTTTAACAAGGGCAAGTACTGAATTCTGTGCCTGGATGTAAATAAAACCACCTTTCTGGTGAGTTCGTTGTGTCTCCTACCTGACAGTGACCAGATGTTAATCTTATTGCTGCAAAGCAACAGTGTAACTTGTGCTTGTTTTATTCTAGTTGTCTCCCCAGACACAGAGATATGGTTCCTGGACAGAGCTCTGTATTGGCATTTCCTCACCAAAACCTTCACAGCCTACTACCGCCTGCTCATCACCCACCTGGGTCTCCCACAGTGGCAGTACGCCTTCACCAGCTACGGGGTCAGCCCCCAGGCTAAGGTAGGACAGCAGGGTCCAGCATCTGTTTTTTGCTAAGCACAGACTGGAGAAACATCTTCCCACCTTTTGACAAGCAGTCTGTAGCCCCAACGGGGCCCTCCTTGGTGAGCCACTGAAGGGACCACAAGTCTTTTCCCAATAGCTTGTTAATGGTCACTTGTTTCACAGTAATTTGAATTCACTAATATTATGTTAACCCTGCTTTTGTCACCTAAGTCAAGACCTACCCTCAATGTCTAATAGCATGTGGTAGAAACCTTATTATTTGCCTTCTTGATCCTGAAGCAAACTTCCACTCCATGGCTGCTGGCAACTGAGGGGAGATGTTCATCCCCATAGCTGTGTAACATTTCTCTAGATAAGTTTTCTAGGCATACCACTGAACAAGAGTCTAATGCTGCCTGGGTGGAGAGGAAAGTCCAGGTACACATTAGACAGAATGACAGATGAAGACTATGACCTTGAGCCTTGCCAACAATATTAATTCCTTTTCACCCTCCTCAGGCATGAAGGGATGCCTTCATAAAAATTATGCTCAAAAAGGTGCAATTTAAATGCCAGAAGTCCTAGAAGTAGTTATAGAAGAGCTCTAGGTAAAGCCTTGTGACTGTTCCAGTCCCTTATTATTATTAAAATTGCTGTTCTGCTATGCCAAAATCCTGCTATTAGAGGCTTCTGCTATTCCTCTGTGTTTGACTGGGCCTTCAACCCTAACCCTGCTTCCATCATGTGAGAGGTCAGGGAATGGAGCTGACAATCCTACTGAACACAAGCCAGTGCAGTGTCTGTGCACATTGTCAAGGTCTCAGTGAGTGTCCTGCACTTTCCCCAGACGTGACAGCTGTCCTGCCAGCATGGCACTCCTTAGTCCTGTGTGCACATCGGAATTACTCGCTAAAATCACTGCCGACTTCCCATCAATCAGTGGCTGTAGAAACTGGTTCTTTTTATTTCTGGTGTCTTCCCTGTTACACTGCACTGTACTTCATCAGCCCAGACTGTGTACGTGATACTGTAGTACTGTGATCTGCCTTTCTGTAGCTTTCCTGCTATAAATATTTTATTATGTTCAGTATATTCCCAAACCTTAAGTGAAATCATTCGTATATTCCCTAATCATTTCCAGCCCCTGTTAGTTAAAATCCTGGTGCATTAACCATTATAATTTTTAAAGTTTTTGAGGGAGTATTTAAAGCTGTTTTCCACTGAGCAGTACATGAATAGGCTGCTATCTAAATTTTGCTATGGATCTTCTGTTTATGTTGTTCAACACTGTCCTGATGTTTCAGTATGATTTGTAATACTATAACTCTTACAGTTTTATTTCCTGATTTTGTCAATGAAAAAGCAATGGGAAAAAAAGTTATTTCTAGATAGAAAATCAGAAGTAAAAAGACAGTAAGAGAAACCAACACAAAATCCTTTGTGTAAACAGTTTAAAAACGTGTGTTATTTTATATGTGAAGAGAGGGGAGGAAGCTATGTTTTGAGAAGTTCAACTAGTTGGTTTCCAGTTTATAAGCCCATTTAAATTCCAAGGTTTTTTAATCTTTTCTGCTTATCTGAATCTAGATAAATGTGGTTTAATTTTATCTCCTCCCTTTGGTTTTCCTCCTGTGATTTAAATCAGGAGTTGCTCCCTATAGGAGTTACACTGCAGAAAAGATAGTGTTAGATTTGTGTCTGGTTCTCTTCTTCCCTGTCTGGAATGCAGTTTCAGGACTGTGGCTGTAGCAATGCCTTGTGTGTCCTTATCACAAACAGTCTTCGAAGTCCTGTAAACTACAAACTGATAAGTGGTGTGAGATTAAAATCATGTCACAGGGAAGAGGGGGAACAAGGTGAAATTGTCTATTTGCAGTTCAAATTTAACCTCTTCCTTCCACACAATCCTGCCTTTCAGCAATGGTTTAACATGTACAAACCCATAACCATCAACACAGCGCTCCTGTCTGAAGAAGCTGATTCCTTTGTGAACAAGCTGGACCCCAACAAAGTATTTAAAAGCAAGAACAAAACTCCAGTGCTCAAAAAGAAACCACCTTCTCAGCCAGCAGGCTCCCAAAAGAGTCACACGAGCATGACCTCTGCCAAAACATCCTCACTAGCTGGGAATTCTTCAAGGAAGTGAGACCCCCAGATCTAACCCTGGACAGCGTTTGCAATAAGCTCTGGTGTTCTCTGCTGCAGAGTCTCAGTGGTTCAGACCAAGTTCCTTGTGCATGAATAGATGTGCCCATGGAAAACACATTGCAACATTTGCATGAAATATAGCCACGATGTGGATGTAGTTCCTGGAGACTCTTAAGAAAAAAACTTGAGACATTGATTTTATTCCCTTGTGCTACTTGCAGCATGTATTTTTCAGAGGGCATGAAGAAGCCCTTGATATCACTGCTCTGTAGGGAAGCTTTTGTTCCTGTGCAACTACAGCAGTGAAATGAAGGCAGGTGTAAGTCACCATTACTTTAACAGACCATGCTGCAACAGAGAGTATGAAGATATTTCTGCCATCTCCTCTGAAAGAAACCTGTCCTGACCTTGCATGCTGTGGGAGCAGGCTGGAACCTGCTGAACAAAGAAATAACTTCCACTAAAGATAGAATCAAACTCTGCACTTCCCTATGCTCCTTCCAACTTCTGCTCTGAGATTCATGGTACAAGGGGACCTGGGATGTTGGTGTCTCTGCACTGTCCTAGCTGCTTGCTCTACAGCCCAGACCACCTTTTGGCCTTCACACTGTATCTTTTCACATAGTGACATAGAATCATAGAATCAGCCGGGTTGGAAAATGCCTCCGAGATCACCAAGTCCTGTGGCAGTTAGGCACAGACCCACCAGATTGAGTGCAAGCTGGCAAATCGTTTATTAACAGTCAAGCACACGGTTTTATACTCCTCGATTACATAAGAGGTTACATAACCATAGAGCACGGGCTATTTCCCCAACAATCATTCTCCAATCCTTCCAGTGGGCATGTGCAGTCGAGCACTCTCTTTGGGGGCCTGCTGTGGAGACTACATTTCCTGTCCTTCCTTGCGATAATCTTCCTGTGAGGTGTTAACCCTTTCCCACAAATCTCCCTTCTTTATTATAATAAGAAGTTACAGAACACTATAACTCTAAAACCTTTCTTAACATAAAACAACCTTATCTTAACTAGCTATATAACTCAGGGCCTAAATCTGAAAGGCCTTTATTAGAACTAATTACTCTATACACTAAGTAACTTCATTAATCATGTAACCTTCATTAATCCAGGGTTTTTTAAGGGTTTTGAACAGGTCGCTTTTATCTTAGGGTATGTATGTGTACAAGTTTCGAGCTGGCTTCCCGCCAAGTCCCCCAAAACTCGACAACAAGGACCCGCCTCCCAGAGAGGGAAAAGAGGAAAGAAAAAAAACCAAGCAGCCAAAGCTATAGCAAAAATATATATATATATATATATTTTACATATGAGACAGATACACAAAGGAGAATACCACACACCGGGGGGGGAGGGGGAGGGGAGGAAGGGAGAAGGACAAAAAGGGGCAAGGACCGAACAAGTCAAACAGCCAGCCGAAGGCAAACTAGCAGAGATCTCACCACTTCCCTTCAAACAGGCAGGATGGCCAGATACGGTCCTAGGCTCTCCCCTCACGCGTGGCGGATAACGGCAGTCACTGTAGGCCTCGGCTCCAGATAAGCCCGACCGAAACAGGGACCCACCGTTCTCGAACCTCGCTGGAGAGGAAGAGCGCGATCCCTCCCGCTGGCTTTATTTATACCTCCAGTTACGTAAAGGAATAGCATGGAATACTTCCGTGATCACTTTTCTAGTTCCTTCCTGGTTACAAGTTGGTCTCCAGGAAGGCCTAGAGTGAAACCACCACATTCTCCACCCCTTATTCCATGCTATTTCTTTACGTAACACCTATGTTTCACATTCGCACATATATATACACATATACATATATATATATACATATATATATATATATAGCTCTTGTTGGTCTATCGGCACAGTCGTCTCATCGTTGGAAAATCAATGCCGATGTCAGTTCAGTCCAGATCTTTGCTCTCCTCAGTCACAATTACAGTTCCGATTTATGACTGTTTCATCACTGGACTGTCTCATCACCGGATACCAGCATCAGCTTAGTTCAGGTCTCTCTCTCATCTGGTGACTGGCTTCCTGTAAGAACACAACTTAGGACATACAATTAGTTTTTTCCCAAGGCTAGATTTCCTTGAGGCACACACTGGATGACTCCATCCTTCCTCATTACCCACCACGTATGTCCTGGCCCTTGAGCAAAGACAATCCCACGAATGGGTTTGTCTTGGCCTGAGGCAGGGGTAACCCAAACGGCTTTCCCTAGCATTCCCCTCAAATGGATTGCTGGAACTTTATCTCCATCAACAATGTGAAGGGATTCTGCCTGTGCAGGGCCAGCTCAATTGACAGAACCCCTGGTGTTAACTAGCCAGGTAGCCTTGGCTAAGTTTTTGTCCCAGTTTTTATAAGTTCCTTCACCTAATGACTTTAGAGTGGTCTTCAATAATCCGTTATATCTCTCAACCTTCCCAGCAGCTGGTGCATGATAAGGAATGTGGTACACCCATTCGATACCATGTTCCCTCGCCCAAGTGGTAACTAATTCATTTTTGAAATGAGTCCCGTTGTCTGACTCAATACGTTCTGGGGTCCCGTGTCTCCACAGGACTTGCTTTTCAAGGCCCAGAATGGTATTCTGGGCCGTTGCGTGGGGTACTGAAAAAGTCTCTAGCCATCCCGTTGTTGCTTCCACCATGGTAAGTACATAGCACTTACCTTGGCGGGTCTGTGGCAGTTTGATATAATCAACCTGCCATGCCTCTCCATACTTATACTTATTCCATCGTCCACCATACCACAGGGGCTTCAGTCTTTTCGCCTGCTTAATAGCGGCACAAGTCTCACAATCATGGGTAACTTCAGAAATGATATCCATGGTTAAATCCACCCCTCGGTCTCGTGCCCATCTGTGGGTGGCATCTCGGCCTTGATGACCGGAAGCATCATGGGCCCATCGAGCCAGAAACAGCTCTCCCTTCTGCTGCCAGTCTAGGTCTACTTGCAACACCCCTATCTGTGCAGCTCGGTCCGCTTCTCTGTTGTTATTATGTTCTTCATTAGCTCACTTCTTGGACACATGGGCATCTACATGGTGGACTCTCACATTCAGACTCTTTGCTCTGGCAGCGATGTCCTGTCACAAGTCAGCAGCCCAGATGGGTCTTCCTCCACGCCTCCAGTTCATCTTCTTCCATTGGTCTAACCATCCCCATAGAGCATTGGCTATCATCCGCGAGTCTGTGTAGAGGTAGAGTCTCGGCCATCTTTCTTGTTCGGCGATGTCCAGGGCCAGTTGACGGCTTTGAGCTCTGCAAATTGACTCGACTCGCCTTGACCCTCAACAGCTTCTGCCACTCGTCGGGTGGGACTCCAAACGGCTGCTTTCCACTTCCGGTTCCTTCCTACAATACAGCAAGAACCATCAGTGAAAAGGGCATAACACCTTTCTTCATCTGGCAGCTGATCAAATGGCGGAGCTTCTTCAGCTCGGCTCACTGGCTCTTCTTCTTCTTCTGCCAGACTGAAGTTCCCACCTTCAGGCCAATTTGTGATAACCTCCAGAATTCCAGGGCGATTTGAGCTTCCCGATCGTACACACTGCGTAATGCCACAGCTCGTGGGTTGAAGGAAAGGGACAGGGCACTGCAAAAAGGCTAGGACACAGCTGAGGGTCGAGAAGCAATGCCGATTTTATTATGGGGAACACAGACTTATATAGAGGTGAATTAGGGGTTGGGCTCAAGCGAGGGGAGGAGAAAAGGATTGGCAGGTCAGGGAAGGCGGGGATTGGATATCAGGGTCAGGAGAGGTGGCAACTTTGGGTCTCTGGGGGAATGGACCAATGGCAGCTACCTCTGCACTGCAGCAAACAGCAGCCAATCAGGCAGAGGAGCGGGAAAACAGGGGAGAGCAACAGGCTCTGTGAGGGGAAGAAAGGGACAATATGGAGAGCATGATTTTTAAACAACAACCAGGGGTACAAACATGTTGATAACTCCATAGCAATAAACTGGGGATAACTGGAAATAACTGGGGGTAACAGGGACAAAACTGTCAAATCCGTGTGTAGCCTTTTCAGGCTAGCAAAGTCCGTATTGGTGGTAAAAAGTCCTTTTAAGGCTCATATATTTTCCTCCAAGCTTGGTATCTCTCCCACTCCTCTCTGCTTCTTTCATCTTCATCCCCAACAGCGTAATCAAGGCTATCCACTTGCTCCACGTAGCATCGGTGGCATGATGCGTAGGGGGCACCTTCCCTTTGAACATCCAGCTCAAGACTGGTAATCGGGGTGCCAGGAAGAGCTGTACTTCGGTACCAATTACCTCTGAAGCTGCTCGTGTACCTTCATACGCCGCTAAGATTTCCTTTTCCACAGGGGTGTAATTGGCCTCAGAACCTCTGTAGCTTCGGCTCCAGAAACCCAGTGGTCGCCCTCGCGTCTCACCAGGCACCTTTTGCCAGAGGCTCCAGGAGGGACCTTTATCTCCAGCTGCAGAGTAGAGTACGTTCTTTACATCTGGTCCCGTTCTAACTGGTCCAAGAGCCACAGCATGTGCAATTTCTTGCTTGATCTGCCTGAAAGCTTGTTGTTGCTCAGGACCCCACTGGAAGTTGTTCTTTTTACGGGTCACAAAGTAAAGAGGGCTCACAATCTGACTGTATTCTGGGATATGCATCCTCCAGAAACCTATTGCTCCCAGAAAAGCTTGGGTTTCTTTCTTGTTGGTGGGGGGAGCCATTGCTACAATCTTGTTGATTATGTCTGTTGGTAAATGACGTCGTCCATCTTGCCATTTCACCCCTAGGAATTGGATCTCTCGGGCAAGTCCCTTGACTTTGCTCTTCTTGATAGCGAAACCGGCCTCGAGGAGAATCTGGATGATCGTCTGTCCTTTTTTGAAAACTTCTTTTGCTGTATCCCCCCATACAATGATGTCATCGATGTACTGGATGTGTTCGGGAGCCTTACCCTTCTCTAGTGTGCCCTGGATCAGTCCATGACAGATGGTTGGACTGTGTTTCCACCCCTGGGGCAGTCGATTCCAGGTGTATTGAACGCCCCTCCAGGTGAAAGCAAACTGTGACCTGCACTCTGCTGCTAAAGGAATGGAGAAAAACGCGTTGGCTATGTCGATGGTGGCGTACCACTTTGCTGTCTTGGACTCCAACTCGTATTGGAACTCCAACATATCTGGCATGGCAGCACTCAACGGTGGCGTAACTTCATTTAAGCCACGATAGTCCACAGTCAGTCTCCACTCTCCATCGGATTTACGCACAGGCCAGATGGGGCTGTTGAAGGGTGAATGGGTTCTGCTGACCACCCCTTGGCTCTCCAACTTTCGGATCATTTTGTGGATAGGGATCACAGCATCTCGGTTTGTCCGATACTGTCATCTGTGTACAGTTTTTGTGGCTATTGGCACTTCTTGATCTTTAACTCGCAGTAATCCTACAGTGGAAGGGTCTTCTGAGAGGCCAGGAAAGGCAGACAATTGCTTGGACTCCTCTTCAATCACCGAGGCTATACCAAAAGCCCACGGGTACCCTTTCGGGTCTTTGAAGTATCCTCTTCTTAGGTAATCCATACCAAGGATGCAAGGGGCTTCTGGCCCCGTCACAATGGGACGCTTTTCCCATTGGTCTCCCGTCAAGCTCATGTCCGCCTCTACTACTGACAATTCTTGAGACCCTCCGGTCACTCCAGAAATAGTAACAGTCTCGGTACTCTTATACTCCGAAGGCATTACAGTACACTGGGCTCCAGTATCTATCAAGGCCTGGTATCTCTGAGGATCCGATGTGCCAGGCCATCGAACCCACACAGCCCAGTAAACTCGGTTATCTTCCTGGTCCCTCTCCTTCTCCTGGCAGAAGGCAGGGCCCCTCTACTGGTCTTGATCAGAGCATTCGTCGTCAGAGTTTGACTTTGACTTCTTAGACTTTTTGCCGTTGTTGAAGTGGACCTCTGTCTTCTCGTGTTTCAGTGATCGCAGTTTCTCTTCTAAGAAATCTCCGTCTACTACATAGACAACTTTCTTGTCAGTCTTCTTTCGCTTCAGCTCCCTCACTGTAGCTTCAAGCTTAGAAGTGGGTTCACCATCCCACTTCTTCATGTTTTCTCCTTTACTACGAAGGTATGCCCATAGTTGGTTACGTGACCAACGCTTAGAGTTCTCTTTCCTTCGACGTGTGAATGACAGG